TACTTCTTGATGAAGATAGCAAATCCTTAAGAACTTTACATTGACGCGTGTAAGCTTCACGATCATGCATAGAACGGGAAGCACGCCACCGTCGCTCAAGCCGTCTTTTTTCCCTCTTTTCAGACTTTAATTCTTCTGAGTACCAAGGTGCCGCTGGGCGAATGGTAACGGTACGCTTCTTAATGGGAACATGTCTGTTAAAAATTCCAGATAGCTCAGAATCATAAAGTGCAACTAGATCATCAAGTTGATTTGGCGGATGACTGATGAGGGAAGAACCTCGAGTGTCACTGATGAAAAGATCACTATCAAAATTCTTAAAACTACGATTAATAATTTGTTTCTTTGTAAACAAAGGTTTCTCCATGGACAAAGCACAATTGACAACAAAATGGTCAAAGAAAGTGGCGTCATGAATAGAAACAGCTGTAACTAATTGATCATCATCTCTTGTTATGAGGAGATCCAATATTTGACCAGCACGGTGAGTAGGAGAACATACATGTTGACTCAAATTAAACGAGTCAATGAGAGCTAGAAAATCCTGTGAAGATTTATCAAGATAATTGTCAACGTGAAAATTAAAGTCACCGGTAATCAAGACGCTAGATGAATCCTAAAGTGTGATGGTCCAGGTAGTTCAACAGTTTCTGACATTTCAAAACGAGATGCCTTATTGCAGGTACCTAAATTGCACAAACAATTTGCAAGACAGTTGTCACAACACTCGTGTTTAGGTGTGACAGGGTTACTAGACCTATAATTTCACCACTTTTCGTTATGTCAAGAAATGTATTACTTTTTTTATTATTTTGCTCCTAATATTTTTGCGCTTAGGAATTTCCTGGTTTGATTTAGCAAGCTTGTGTATCGCTTAGGAATGATTCTACGTGTGCCCGCAAACCCACATATTATCGCCGAAATGCCGTAACGGATATCAGCTTTTCGTGGTTTTTCTTTTCGGTAGATTGTTTTAATCAGTTAATTGACCTTATCTTGTTAAGTTAGTGGGATTAACCTAAGGAAATCCTGGCGTTCTGTTTTACTGTGGTTTGGCAACACACCTTTTATTGTTTTGCGGCGTGCAAATTGTTTAATACTCTCGTATAAGTAGAGGCACGTTTTAGCCGTAATTCAGTTGAGTTTGGACGTCACTGAAGAAACTGCAGCAATTGTAAAGTTAACAAGCGAACTTGCTTCTAGCAGGTTTAATCTTTTAGTAGTTCCCGTTTATTTTTGGTTTTATTTTATTGTTGGTGTATTGCTGATGGATTTGAGTTTCAAATAAATTGCTTTGGAAAATCGTTGAATCCTTCTCGTTCCTGCCGCTGACCGCCCCGTCCTGTTACAGTTTGGTGTCAGAAGTGGGATTCAAGTGCTACTTTCCTGACCTTTTTGTTTGAGGTAGAAAAAATAAACGGGAACGTACTAGAAAGATGCGTCCTGGAGGGGACGCTGCGGACACACTAGAAACCCTGCCAGACCGGCTGAAACAGTTGGAGGACCACCTGCTTCAACTAAATGCTGGTGGACAGCCAGAAGCAACCGGACCTAGTGCAAGCTCCACTGATGCCCAGGCGACCATTCGGGTGTCCGTACCCAGGGAGAAGAGATTTGGGAAGTACGGTGGGATCAGAGATGACCGGGTCCTAGAGGACTGGATAGCAGATGCTGAGAGGGCCGTGAGGGGCGAGACGGATGCCGAGGCAGTAGATACCCTCTTGTTTCACATGGAAGGTGTGGCCAAAGAAGAAGTGACGCTGAGGCCAACCAGTAAGTGGTCCTCTCCCTCTGGTGTATTTCGGATCCTGAAGGAGATCTTCAGTGAACAGCTTACAGAAACTCAAGCGAGGAGGAAGTTTTTCGCAAGGCGGCAGGGAGATCGCGAGTCGGCGCAGGACTTTGCACATGCTCTAATGGTTCTTCTTTCCAGGGTAGAGCGATTGAGTGGTGCACCAGAGGCCAGTAAAGACCTACTACTAAGGGAGCAGTTCGTGGAGAACCTTAAGGACCTCACCCTGCGCCGCGGCATCAAGCGCTGGGCAAGAGACCACGCAACTGCTACCTTCCAGGACGTTCGACTGGAGGTGCATTGGTATATGGAGGAGGACCCTACTCCCAGGAGATCGGCAGTAGTAACGTCTGCAGAGGTGGAGGAAGAGGCGCAGTGCACCGAGATCACTGGGCAGAAGAAGCAGCAAAAGGTCATGGCTGACCTCATCTCCGGACAGAACGTCCTCGACGAAGAGTTGTAGAAGAAGCAGAAAGTGCTAATGGCCCACGCTGAACAGCAGAGGGAAGTACTGGACCGGCAACAGGAGACCCTGAATCACCTGCTGGCCACGTTGGCTTCAAGGCCAAGGTTTTAATCCTGTTACCTCTGTGGCAAGGATGGACACTTCGTCCGGGACTGCCCCGAGCCAGCGCCAGTCACCAGTACCCAAGGGGGCGGGAGATCAGCCCCAAGGAAGCCGGCGGGAAACAAGAGGACTCCATCGCAGTGAGCCCGGCGGTGGAGGAGGTTAGCAGTGGCTCACCCCTTCCAAAAATAGTTGGTGGAACGCCAACTATGAATGTAAGAATGGCAAACGTGGAAGTTGAGTACCTGATCGACAACGGTTCCATTGTTACCCTTGTTTCGGAGTCCTTCTATAAGGAGAGGCTCGAGTCTGTATGCGGTAGAGTGCATGGCGTGGGAAGGATGCTCGCTCTGCGAAGAGCTAGTTAATGGACTCGAAATCCCATATCTCGGGTACCTGGAGTTGGACATGCAAGTGGGAGGAGTGACAATCCCAGACTGCGGAGTGCTACAGCGCCCACTGTGCAGCAGCGGAGAAGAAGACCCGGAGTCCCGGGGACGAATGTGCTTGCGAAAATCCCGAAGTGGGCAGCGCTGCTGATTATAGAGGAGAATGCAAGTACCTCGTCGAAGCTGGGCCAGAAACCGAGCAAGCAGAGGCTGGTAAGGGTTGCTGGCAGCAGTGCTGTCTGGATCATATTCAGCAATGAACGTTGATGTCACTGGTTCAGCCTGTGGCGCAAACGCAGTGGTGGAACCCCCTAAAAGGAAGACTCCGAGTCGCGACTACACTGGTGGATGCGTCCAGGTCATGCTTTACTGTCCAGCTGATCAATCCGACAGGTCAAAGAGTCACCCTGAAGCCCAGAACATGTCTTGGTACAGTCCAGCCAGCGGAGGTAATTATGAGGGAGCAGCTGGCGTTTACCGTGGGAAGCAATGAGGTAGTGGTGTCACATGCTCATGGCGTACACTGCTAGGAGGTATCTTCACAGACCCCCAGCAGAAACACGCAGCGATGAAACACTGGAACTCTACCTGAGGGAGTGCTGCTGGACAATTTCCCCGGTACTGAAGCAGAGAGGAGAGAGGCAGAGAGAATCTTCCGAGAGTATGCTGATGTTTTTTCTCTCAAGGGAGAGGAGCTTGGCTGTACGACCACGGTGCCACACAGGATCCACACTGAAGATGACATTCCAGTCAATCAGCGATACAGACGGATCCCACCCAATCAGTTTGAGGAGGCGTAGGAACACCTACAGGCGCTGCTGAAGAGAGGGGCTATCAGACCTAGCCAAAGTGACCATGCATCACCTATTGTACTAGTCATTCGCCTGTGCATGGGCTACCGCTGCCTCAATGCAAAGACCAGGAAGGATGCATACCCCTTGCCTAGGATAGACGAGTCACTTGATGCAAATGGTAAAGCACGGTACTTCTCACCCATTGACCTGGCATCAGCATACAACCAAGTGGAGGTACATACAGGCGACCGCCACAAGACAGCGTTCACTACGCCAATGGACCTGTACGAGTACAATAGGACGCCTTTCGGGCTCTGTAACGCGCCTGGTACGTTCCAAAGGCTTAAGCAGACGATATTCCGTGAAGAGCTACTGCAGATTCTTCTAGTGTACCTGGACGACATCATTGTGTACAATGACACCATTGCAGATCACCTCAAACGGCTTGAGCGAGTTTTTCAGAAGCTGAGAGAACATGGTCTCAAGATAGAAGCAGAAAAGTGTCAGTTCTTCCAGAGTCGTGTCAAGTACCTTGATCACGTGCTCTCGGCAGAGGGCGTGACAACCGATCCAGCAAAGACTGAGGCAGTGTCGCAGTAGCCCACCCCAAGAACGCTGAAGGACTTGAGGTCATTTTTGGGGTTCGCATCCTCTTACAGACGGTTTGTCCCTGGCTTCTTACAAACAGCAACCCCACTCCATAAGCAGGTAACCGAAATCTGAGAGAAGGGAAAGAACAAGAAAGGTATCATTACCAGTGAGCATTCGGAGGGAGAATGCCGTAAAGCCTTTGATGATTTGCGTAAAGCCCTCACAAGTGCACTAGTGTTGGCCTACCCTGATTACACTAAACCGTTCATCGTAGAGACTGATGCGTCTGACAAGGGACTAGGTGCTGTGTTATCCCAGAAGCAGGATGGTAAGCTCAGTCATTGACTATGCTAGCCGAGGCATACGTAGAGCTGAGAGGAACGTGAAGAACTACTCTTCCGTGAAGTTGGAACTCGTAGCACTGAAGTGGGCTGTAGCAGACAAAATCCGGGAGTACGTGCTGGGATCCGAGTTCGTGGTGTATACTGACAACAACCCGCCGACCTACCTACAGTCCAAGAGCAAGCTGAAAGCAGTAGAACAGCGATGGGCAGCTGAACGGGCGAGCTTTAACTTCAAAATAGAGTATCGAGCTGGTAAACACAATACCAACGCTGGTGCCCTGAGCCGAGTCAGTTGGGAAGCAACTCACAATAGCGCCAAACACAGACAAACACAGTTCACCTATGTTGCCGAGACGTTAGCTTCAATTGCGGATACTACCAGACTTCCTGAGAGAGTGCAGCTGGGATTGCTGGAGAATGCTGTTCGTGTAGAGGAGTTGGGAGTTACAACACCAGCAGACGAGTGTGCTGAACAGGCGACTTGTCGTCCGTCCATCCCGAGAGATCACATTTCCATGTTGCAGCAGAAGGATGCAGCAATAGTGAGGCTGAAGCATTACCTGGACCTAGGGAGAAAGCCCAACCGACAAGACAGGAAGCAAGAGACGCAAGAAACCCTACAACTGGTTGGTTACCTGGACAACATTGCAGAGAAGGATGGCTTGCTTTTCAGAACTGTGCGCAACAACGATGACCAGTTGAAACAGCTCCTTGTAGTACCTAGTGTCCTACGCAGCGAGGTCCTGAAGGCAGCTCATAAGGACTTTGGACACCAGGGGCCAGAGAGAACCGAGCAAGTTGTGCAGCGACGATGTTGGTGGCCATGCATGCCTACAGATGTGAAACAGTGGATCTCCGAGTGTGAGCGTTGTGTGCTAGCAAAGGGACCCTACCTGACGGCGAAAACTCCTATGGGCAGTATCATAGCCACCAAGCCACTTGAAGTTCTGGCCATGGATTTTACGCAGTTGGGACCAGCGTCAGATGGTCGAGAGAATGTGTTAGTGGTGACAGATGTATTCACAAAGTTGGCCGTAGCAGGTCCAACCAGGGACCAGAAAGCTGTTACTGTGGCAAAAACCCTCATTCGAGAGTGTTCATGGTGTATGGAGTACCCCAAAGACTACACTCAGACTAGGGCAGATCCTTTGAAGCTGAAGTCATTAAAGAACTTTGCACAATCTACAGTATTAAGAAGTCTCGGACTACACCATACCACCCTCAGGGTAATGGCCAGTGTGAGAGGTTTAATCGTACTGATTCGCGCTTACGTAGCGAAGCGTTACTTAAATTTGAAGGCTACAACGATGTACAGATAACCACTTTATTTCTGAACTGGTTGCCAACGGTAACTTAATCGGCAACAGTCAAACTGCAAAGCAAATG